AAAGCAATCGTAGTAACAAGAAACGAACAAGAATCAGCACTGATGATGCTACCTCTTCACTATGCGAAAGATGCTATCGCATTCAGTTAGCGCTCAAAAAGCAATGTATCAAGACCGACACGGGTTACCAAATCGCCACGGTCAATGATGCCACCGAACAGCTTGCCATGTCCATCTGCGAGTTTTGCCGACTTCTGGCGACTATCAAGAGCCCTGATCTAGATGGAAGTGAGTGTCGGCTTTACGCATACTCAGCCAATTTCGTTTATGCCCACGTTCGTGCACCTGTATTGAAGAAGCATGATGTATCCTCATCGACTCTACTTGGCCTTGTGCCTTCTACGGCTCGATCAACCACGCGTTTGGCAAAAGACTTCATTGGCCTGCTTAGGCTAGATGAGGAGTCGCAAAGTACAAATATTGGGCCTCGGCGCATCGAGACAGACAAGATTGACTACAACGTGCTGAAAAACTGGATGTCCTACTGCCAGACCAAACATAGACGTCTATGCCGGCCCGGAAAATTGGAGGTCGTGGAACAACTGCAAGTTTTTGATGTTTTCACTGAAGAGATCGTCAAGGCGCCAGAAGGGTGTGAGTATGTGGCACTCTCCTATGTCTGGGGAGCATACATAGCTCCACAAGGCAAATTGCCGAAGGCTGTGAAAGATAGCATTACAGTCACTAAAGAATTGGGATTGAAATATCTCTGGGTCGACAGATATGTGAGCCTCCTCCGTTTATTGTGCTTCGTGTATGTTGCTGAACACATGATAGTGCATCGATCAAAGCAGCGTCACCGACAAACATAATCAAGTGAAGGCTATGCACCTCGTGTATGGACAGGCTGCATTGACAATCATCGCTGCGGCTGGTAAAGATTCTGATTACGGGTTACCAGGTGTTTCTGATAGAAAGAGGACTGTACAAGGTTCTTTGGTGGTTGGGGACGACGTCTACATAAGGACCTTCCCGTACATGTCAGTGACTATAGGGGCTAGTCAATGGGCAACCCGCGGCTGGACTCTACAAGAAGCAGTGTTGTCGAAACAAAGACTCATATTCACAGATCAGCAAATTGCTTTTCAATGCAACGGTATGCATTGCTATGAAGCAGTAAAGTGGCCATACGAATTGATGCATGCCAAATCCTCTCCACGGTTTCCTGAGAATGTGCCTGGATCACCTTTCAATCGCCTAACAATTAATCCCCGATCATGGAATCAAGAAAAGGCGTATTCAAGTCTGGTCGGAATTCTCGAACAGTACAGCAATCGCACGTTATCTTACTCCTCGGACTCTCTGAATGCATTCTTGGGCGTTTTGGCTAGTTTTTCAACTCGCAAGGATCCAATCTACCACGTTTGGGGAGTAGCTGTTGTGAACCAGTCCGGTAGCTGGAATCTGAGGGTTGATTGGATTCACAGGAAGCCCTGCACTAGGCTTGCCCAGTTCCCTAGTTGGTCTTGGGCAGGGTGGTCTGGGCCAGTCAACCAGGGGATGCGAGGACTGCCTTTTCCTGTCCATCGACAAGCCTTCTATGTGCGTCTAGAAAAAGACCATCAAGGCGAAGAGGCGAATATGATATATTTACAGACGTTTGGTGACGAGTATCATAAATACAGTGACTACGCGACTGGATCGCCATTCATCCGACTACGGATAAAGGTAATCAATTTCAACCTCACGTGGATCTCTTGGTCGACTTTTAGCGAAGCCGCGAGACAAGCATATTATCAAGAAACTAGTAGGAAGATTGACTCTCGCATCGACGATTTCAGGGACGGACTATACGTTGAATTACCACGACGAGGTTACACTGAGCTGGCTTACTTCTATGCTGACGACAAAAGTCTTGATCTTGCCTCTTTGCAGGGAAGATCGTTGCCTGCTATGATGCTGCAAACCCGAGCCATCAACGATAATCTGGGCTTCGTTATACTTAAACATTGTGGAGATGACCGATACGAGCGTCTCGGTTACTTTTGGTTCTGGCCTAGCTCAATGACACCAACGTTTGATCATGGATTTCGGCTGGACAATGGAAGGCTGCGTAAAGTCCGTCCAGACATAGCCTCTAATCTGAAGGTCCGTGAGCAGTTGTTATGGGAAAAAAATCACGAGGTAATAGATATACGGTTAGGCTAGAAATTATCTCTAAGTCTTCATATACTAAGGACATTATATGGGACGGATGTCCCCAGCTTCAAGTGGTACTGCTTACGTATGATAATAAGGATCAAAAGTTGTAGAGATTACAGGGCTTTACGAATCTGAGTGAGAGCTTACCCTAGGCTCCAGATTTGGATTCCCAGCCCAATGAAATGTCGGCAGAAGCTCTGGATGTGTACGTGTAAAACAACGATAAACATCGCTACTATATCTCAAACGACCTCGCATTCGATAACTACCCGTGGAATATTGATATACGACGTGGGGAATTATTACTGTCAGGGAATTGTTTTGACTCGATTGTTGAACTATCTGATGTGATGGACTTTTTCAATGGGGATACCTGCGAAACAGCACTGGAGAATTAGAACGCATGTTGACAAGACTAGGCGACCTGTACAACCAGACGAGCGAGCCGACTGACAAGGCAATCAACCCTATTGGCTGACTTTGGAGCCAACTACGGCCGTGCTGAGGGCGAACGCCGAGGCTTTCAAATGATCTTTCCAAATGACAACCCCATAATAGATGACATGGGCGAGGTCTGGATCTTTAAAGAGCTCAGTCGCGCATTTCGAAGAACTTGGCACAACAAGCGATTTGCAATCACTAAAGAGGGTCTTATGGGCTGTGTTCGAGATGATACGGAGATTGGGGGCTAAGTCGCAATACTGTTCGGGGACACGTCGTATATGTTATCTGCTCTATTCAACAGGGTGCTAAAGAGATTGAGCAAGACACAACGCAAGATATAATGTGAGGTTACCTCCTCTACAACTTCGGAGGCGATGACTACTTTCATGGCGTTATTGTTGGGAGGTATTGAAATTGGGAGCACTGTGCAATATACGAATTCTGTGAGCAGAGTTCGCATCGTGATTAGTAGATGATAGGTTGACCTTGTCACTTTGATCCTCATTGTGACTTGCGATAAACATGGGATAAGACATCCCGTCTGACACAGACCACCGAGACCAGCGCCAAACTGTGCGAAAGGCGTATCTAAGGTGTCTTGGCAGACATGTGCTTCTCCATAGTCTCCAGCACGTTGTTAGGTGGTATCGTATGCAACTTGTTTTCTCGCTTGTTAGGTCTGTGCCATGCAGCAATAGTCTGGCAATAGACGCATGAATCTGACCTATACCAAGGGGTTGGAACGTCCCCTAGGTAAAAACAAGCCCAGTCGCGGAGTGCATATATGTAGACCCTCAACCCCGTTGCCTCATCTCGCTCCTCAAGTGAAACCGCTTCATGTTGCAACTCATCGGAGGATATCTTGCAGCATCATGTCTTTCTAGAAGCATAGCGCGCCTTCCATAACCAAACACATAGGAAGCTGGAGAATGAGAAGGGATCAAGGATGGCCCTAGCTCTCCATTCTTGATCTCTTACACATTGTGTGGCAGACATCTACGCAAGACCGAGTGATTGGTCGTAATCTGCCTAGGAGTTAGGTTATCGCTAATAAGCTTATGACAAGGGTCTTGACTGGCTCAACTGCTCCTTACATCGAAGCAGCCTACAGCTCTATTCAGTAGTACAAAATAACAAATGGTCCATTGCAGCAGAAGAAATATGATATTCAACTACCTAGGTACTTCGCATTTTAAGACCTGTCATTTTTAAACTGTCGGGGACAAAAGCTTGCACACCCAACGCTCCCCAGTCCCGCGCCGCATAGCGTTGTGGCACTATGGTAAAATAGTATTAGTGTCAACGCTTGTGCAAGCGAAGGAATGCTGGTCGCTGAACGGGGTCGCTGAGGCCCGCGTACTTTTGTTATCATGACAGCTGGGACGAGGATACACTATTAGGGGGACCCTTGTGGCGGACGCTGAGCTAAAACCATTCGGAAGCTCATCTCCGCCGCCGTCGTAAGTGATATGCTGAGGAATATTTCCTCTCTCTTTGCAAAGTTCTTCTCTCATAGCGAACAGGAAGTGAGTCGCCTTTGTCGGTATGTTTCCACTCGGCATTGACAAGTCCCCTAAGCTTTGTCCGTCCCATCTTCCCACGGCTTCTGTGCTGATCAGCAAAATAAGAACGCTGTAAAGAACAGACAATGGGGGCGTCCAGAAGCCGATCACGTCCGAGCGGATGTTCTGGATGCGCAACGCTGTTCGCTGTCCCTGCTCGCTTACCCTGACCCTGGCAGATATCCTGGCGGATGTCCAACACACCAATCCATATTTAGCGCAGAGATGCTTCTTTCGCGTCGGGTTTCTACCCCCACATCTCGAGGAAGCAAAGGATGAGTTACCGCGTTTTGATGGTGCTCCGAAATCTGCTTTCCTGGGGAGGTTTGCCACCAGCAGATGCGTGCTTCCCCGCCGAAGGCACTCTCGAGGCACTGTGTTGTGCAAGTTGTGCAGAAAGGATGGCACCATTCAGCTGAGCTTACGACTGCAGGACGCTATCTTAATTTTTTTGCTGCAGGTGTTCCTAGCATGCTAGCCATGCTTACGGTAATAACGTGGTCGCGTACCAACAAAGACTGGATAAGCGGCGGGAGAATGGTAAGCATCGCGGATGGCGGCAGGCCGAGGCCAGACGAGTCAAGGTAGCAGCCTTCACTTCGCAATTCATCACATATCTCGGTGGCCAAATAGATTTTCATGATCGCGTCTATTTGAAGGGAACCACTTGCAAAGATTGAAAGCGTTGCTGTAGATAAAGCGTTATGTGATTAAAGTCTATGTCCAAACTTGTAGGTATGTCGCAAACTATGTACATGATTCATATCAGGTGTGTAGAAAGCACGAAAGCCGCCAACTCCAGACCATTCCGATTTTTAGTTGGTATCAAAAGGAAAAATGTGCGTGTGTGCCTTAGACATAGCGGTAGCAGTAGAGTCCGCTCATGGGATCGGCAACGTCGCGCAGATTCTGCGGGGATCCAAGCACGCCAAAGTCCATGATGGTGCAATTGCTGACTTCTGGAGTCGCGTTGGTGTTGAAAATGGTGCTGGTGCCATTGTACTGGTATCTCCTGACCTTCGGGTTGGCTGCCTGCCACTGCGCCCAGATGCGATCGATCTGCCCGTGATGCAGGAAGAAGGCAGGATCCTGTGGTGATGCGAAGAAGTCAAACATGACACCGCCCACTCCGTAATGGCCGCCACCATGTAGACCACGGTCGGTCGTGCCGACATTCTTGCTGTTCATGAGGATCTGGACATCTTTAATGGTGGTTGCCGCGAGCATCTCATTGATCAGAGTCTGGTTGTCGTAGGTCTTGATACCGTAGTTGTTCAGATCGCGGTTCATGCAGCGAGGGTTGGCAATGTTCCAGGTAGCTGGTAAACCAGTGAAGACAAGATTGAAGTTGAATGGACCGAAATTGACCGTGGTGTTGGCGAAAGGACCAGTGGTGACGCAGCCGCCACCGCTTCCGTGCGGGAGCTCCTGGCCGACACCGACAATGTACGGGCCGGTATCCTCGTACAATCCATTGCCACCGAGTGAGTATGGGCCTCCGTTGAAGAGCGGGCTTGTCTCAAGAGTCGGGTACTTAGTCCAGTCCCAGTAGGGTAGACCCAGGGTCTTGGGATAGTTGCATTTATCGTGTAGTGCCTCTTCCATCAGGTACAGAAAGTGACGATGCCAGCTCAAGAAAATGCCGCTGATATGAATGCTTGTCGTGAGGTTTACGTGGACGCCAGCAAAGTCGCTGAACCACGATGTGCTGGCAGGAACGAGACCTTTCTTAAACTTGGAGGGCTGCTTCATGAGGCATTTCACACCATCAATGTAGCTGAGCTTCTCCGAGTTGCTCATCGAGCCCCATTCCTTCCGCTGAACAGCATTGCTCGTTGTACACTTGGTAGTGCGAGGCGACGGCGCGGCGGCGGCGAAGGGCACAAGCAGCGCGGTGAGGAGCGTGGATGCCTTCATTGTCCCGACTGTGGTTGATCTTCACCGAGCGCGACGGCAGAGTGAAGCGGATGAAAACGAATTGAAGAACCTCTCAACGGTCGCAGTTAGCGAAGTGCAGCAGATAAATTGATTATCTGCAGGAAATTGGCAAGGAGCACCCAGTAGCTTGAGCTTTCACGCCACGAGTCTCCTCTGGTGCACCGGCGGGAGGGAAGCTATATATGCTGGTCCTTGTCTAAGACGTCTGGCAAACACGACCGTTGCAACAGGCCAATTTCAGCCACCTTCCTTCCTCGTGCCGGCGCCGTGGTTCTAGGTTTCCAGGTCGACGGTGTCGCTTGCTCGCTCTTCGCCTTCATACTACAGTATATGCAGTAATAATGTCTCTCCGGGCTTGCAGCACTGCACGTGGCGCTGGAGTTATTGAACCAGGACCCCTGTGTCTGCACTTCAGTCTGAACCCGGTCCTGCATAAGCTGCACAACCTTCCATGCGAGAGAGCCAGCATCCTCCGAGTCCATTGGCTTCCACCCTGCTGGCCCCCATGTAACTGGTGCGACTAAGACATGGGAAAACGGACAATAACTGCCAGAGAGGGGTATGTTGCGAGACTTCTGTTACCAGACACAACAAAGCCTTTCTGGGTATCCTGGCCTTCATTGTCTCATGTGCATTTTAGATTTCAATGCTATGGAATGCTAATTTGACTTTAGACAGTTGCGAGACAGAAGCCGGCAGCCGTTGGTCCCGTCGCGTGCGCCGAAGAAAGTTGCGGGGAGTCTAGCATCTGACGTTTCTGACATTTACCAAGCTCCTTCCGCCCAGAGACCGCACGAGCACCCAAGAGGAGGCTTGGGTGGCGGCGATGTTCCCAAGACCCCGGGAATCGGCCTCGCGAAGCCACATCCCTTGCCTCCTTGCCTTTGACTTTGCTGCCTTTGGTCGGACAATGGGCTAATCAACTAGTAAGAACTAGCAGCAAACCCCCGCCGCGTATCATCTGCTAGAAAACCCAAAGAAGTAGAGCTAATGAGAAGCGAAGCCAAAACTAGAGGTGCTCGGATCATTGCTAATATTTTGGCGTCCAGATGTAGCTAAATGCATTCGCAAGCTGATCGGGCTATCTTGCTCGATTTTGCAAGACCGATACATCGCCTGGGCCATCTAAGATGATTTAATGTAAAGCAGACTTCGAAGCGAAAGGATAGAAAGCCGCTGTTGCTGGCTGTCATCGTGTAATCAGACGCAAGTCACGATAGTCTGTTACTTCGGATTTGATTGAAGGTTTGTAGACTTCTTTGAAAACCACCTTGCAAACACGTCAACTTTGTGGGCCATCGATAAAGCTAGCTAACCCTTGCTGAGAATTCAATCGGATTTTATGCCTTTTCGTGATGCCATCAACGGATTACTTGTTGAATGCTATTATTCGTTGCACGAATATAGACGATCGAGGTCTTAATACGCACCCCCGGTTTCTACGGATAGAAATGCATCGTTGATGTTATCAAACGTTCGACATATAACAGTGGCCTGTTGCCTCACTCTTTCGTTTCATAGTGTGAAAGCGCTTATGGGCAACATGAACATCCCCGAGACTTTCTTAGCCGTGAGGTTATCGGGTCAAGTTGGAGCCGATATCACTTGACACCTGGAATAGCCTAAGTGTCATGCGAAGATAGCTCAGTTGTCGCTGTTCTTGTGAGATTTCTATCTATTCAATGCCCTCATATCTTCAAGTTGAGCTGTGGCTAAAAGTCACTCTGACTTTTACATCACTCATTGAGGTTATTTTTCGAATGATACGTAGCCTGGAAATATTCTTATGGAAGCCACTTGCACATTTCGAGACCTTTGACGTTGTGGTTTTTGAGATAATGTTTTGTAGTCTTGGAGACCTTCTATTCTGCATTGAGTCTTTTTGCGATCAATGCCAGTCTCTAGATTTGAAGCACAACAGCGAAGACACTTTGTTAGCAAGGACAAATTGGTCTCCGCGGAACTGACAACGACAGTATGGAAGACCTGCAATTCGAAGGATGACTTGCTGAGATTCACCATGGACTCGGACCATTTCCTAAGCTGGACTATCTTGTGTAGATTCAGGACTGGGACGAAAGGCACGACAAGTCTTCATGATTGCGGCCTCAAAAATATAGAACAAAATGGGGCAGATCAACCCCTTATGAACTCTTTGTCTTTTCTGATTGTCTTGGATGTTCTCCAAATCTTGGCCATTTTGGCCGCCTAGTATTTGTACGTACCTATGTAGGTTACGATGAGCTGCTGATCTCTCTCCGTCACTTCGGGTAAATGAGATCGAATGGCCAAGAATCACATCGGTACGGCAACAAACGACAATTTGCGTTGACCTACTTCCTCGCGGCTTAGGAAGAAAAGGTATTCTCCACCAACTATGAGATACCTCTTGACTTAGTAGTGGCAGATGGCGCCGGGTGATTCTGGATACCGTTGCTGGTCTTTGGCAAAGCTTAAGTACACTCATCAGCCAGCTTCGCCGAGCTGGAGCCGAATCATTTGCGGGGAGAAAATGGGACAGGGGTTTCGCATTGTATGCGAAACCACGGAGCCAAGGAAGTCACACAGAAACCCGCGCTTCGGAACCGCCTTGGCGCCTGTGAGCCGCTCCGTGTTCCCCCATCGGGTCAGTTGATCGGCACAACTGCCACCTGCTTCAACCCCATATATGAGGCTGACCCCACCGGACCCGTCTTTGGTGGCTCGGCGTCCGGCTCAGAGCATCGGAATCAATCAACAAGCCTCGAGGGCCTGCTATTTGCCGGCTCGGCGTCATATGTGAGAGTCCTTGGCCGAGCTAACAACGGCCCGTCGGCACCCTATACAACCACTTACGCGCACTTTGGTGGGTTGCGAGATGAGAACAGTTACTTCTCTGTCTCGTTATTCTTCGTTATGAATAGGCCAAGACTTGATGAGGGGTGGCCTGTTGTCGAAAAGACGCGGAGTTATTGAGCCGTGATCATCACAGGACGCGGGCCTCGTTCCTAATTGAATCCTCCACCTGGCACGGGGGGATTTCTGGGGAGGATGAGGAATTCGCGTGGGTAGGGTAGTCGTGAGGTGTAATCATACCAATCATATAAATACACTGGTGCTCCTCCTTAACTTCATTGCTACTGACTCCATAGAGCATCAGAGCAGGTCGCCATCCACTCATTCGCACTCCATTTTAAGTTACCATGAAGCTCACTGCAACTATCGCAGCCCTTGCGGCTACGGCAAGCGCGTTGCCCTCCAAGACCTCCAAGGAGGCGCCTCGTCAAGCTGGTAGTGCCTGCTCTTCTGCGGTGTCCCTGGACGCTAAGACCAATGTCTGGCAGAAGTATACTCTCCATGCAAACAGCTTTTATAGAAAGGAGGTAGAGGATGCAGCGGCTACCATGAGTGGGACCTTGAAGGAGAAGGCACTTAAGGTTGCAGATGTTGGCTCCTTTGTTTGGCTGTAAGTGCCATGCTGAAAGCTTTAGCACTATGATTGTGTTTAATTCCTTGATTTAGTGACACCATCGCCAATATTGCCAAGCTTGAGCCGGCTATTGCTGATGTTCCCTGTGATCACATTCTGGGTGCTGTTATCTACGATCTTCCGGGTCGTGACTGTGCGGCCAAGGCGTCGAATGGCGAGCTCAAGGTTGGAGAAATCGATAAATACAAGACACAGTATATCGACCGTGAGTTTCAGCCCTCACACCAGCTTGCGTATTAGCGATATCTGACAAACTGCAGCAATTGTCACAATTATCAAGGCAAACCCTAATACGGCATTCGCACTCGTTATCGAGCCGGATTCGCTTCCTAATCTGGTCACCAACTCTGATCTTACTACATGCCAGCAGAGTGCCGCTGGATACCGCGACGGCGTGGCTTACGCACTTAAGCAGCTCAATCTGCCCAATGTCATTATGTATATTGATGCAGGCCATGGTGGTTGGCTTGGCTGGAACGACAATTTGAAGCCAGGCGCTCAGGAGCTTGCCAAGGCATACAAGGCTGCTGGCAACCCCTCTCAGGTTCGCGGCATTGCAACCAACGTGGCAGGCTGGAACTCCTGGTAAGTATCTGGGATGTGCATCTGATACTGGACGCCTGACTGACCATCAATGAATAGGGATGCAGAGCCTGGTGAGTTTGCCAGCGCCTCTGATGCTCAGTGGAACAAGGCCCAGAACGAGAAGAAATACGTCACCCTCTTCGGCGCCGAGCTTCAGAGCGCAGGCATGCCAAACCATGCTATCGTCGACACGGGACGCAACGGTGTCCAGGGACTCCGCGAGGAATGGGGTAACTGGTGCAACGTCAACGGCGCCGGGTTCGGCATCCGACCATCTGCTGAGACTGGTACTGAGTTGGCCGATGCCTTCGTCTGGGTCAAGCCTGGTGGCGAGTCCGACGGTACGAGCGATTCCAGTGCCACCCGCTACGACTCCTTCTGTGGAAAGTCAGACGCCTACAAGCCTTCTCCTGAAGCTGGCAGTTGGAACCAAGCTTACTTCGAGATGCTACTCAACAACGCGAAGCCATCATTCTAAATTGCATCACTCACGATGCAACATGACCACATGCAGGACACTTCTGTATATAGGTATCTGTATATAGGGCACGTACAAAAGTTTCGATTCCTGTTGGAATTTTCCCCAGCCTACTAAGCATTGAAATGATTACATCTCCTTCGTTATAATCAATTTTATCGTTTGTCAGATGATTATGGCCTATCATAACGATGTTACCAGTCGTGCCCCCCGTGCCACTCCAGGCTTACTCACTACCTCGAGATATTCAATGCCAGTAAGACCAGGAAGTAGAAAGTCAGTGCTCCTGTAGTGTGTTAGGGCTTACTTTATTGTTACTTAAAACCGACACAGTATGCTTTAGTATAAGTAAAGATCGACTCGTGCCTCAGTGATACAGAGTCCGAGCAGGAGCGACTCGAAGCGCTAATGCGGGCGGCGTCATGGCCTACTGTAATTGGCTGATGCGGCGCATTCGGGAAACCTTTTTCGAGCCGCCACCCCCGGCGGATTGCTGACACTTATATCGCTGACACTTATATCGCTGACACTCAACAGGCCACGTAAAGATCCATCACAACCGCAAGGCCGAAGCATTCTATCTATCTGCATTCTCTCTCCACATTCAATAAGCAAAAGAAATAACGAAATTGTATCCAGTAAGGCTGAACAAGATGGCTCATAGGCTCGTGGAACTTGATAACATCGAGATCACGGTGATCGTTGACAATGAGATCGACCCTATCTCGCCAAGCAACAATCCCGAAGTGCGCTATAAAGGATTATTCCAGGGCGTGCCGATGACACCGATTCCCGCAGGTCAAGATAGGGGAGGAGCGAAGGGTGAATTTCGTATGGATTCAATCTGCTGTGGTGCACACGGCCTGTCTTTGATGATTGTAGGCATCATCCTGCCACTTGTTGACAAAACAGATGCCATACTCGTTTGCTTCCAGCTGACAATCCACAGACTGCCACAAAAGGTGATATGAAGCATACGTTGCTCTTTGACACCGGCCCAGAAGAAGCTGCATGGGAGAGGAATGCCGCACGACTTAAGGCTGACGTGGGTGCGATTGAGCGTATTCATTTATCTCACTGGCACCGCGACCACTCCGGAGGACTGATCCAGGCCATCAAACTGATTAATGGGGCTAAGTCAGCCGACCAGAAGAATGTCGCTGTAGACCTGCACCCGGACAGGCCGGAGTATCGTGGTATGATGACACCAATGGGTGTGCCTCTTTCCCTCGAGGCAGATCCAAGCTTTGCCGATATTGAAACAGCTGGCGGCCTCGTGGAGAAGAGCAGTGAATCACATACCGTTCTAGATGACATGTTTTTGGTGTCCGGCGAGATCCCTCGAGAGACTGTGTATGAGCTCGGCATCACAGGTGGAATCCGGTATACACAGAACACTGGCAAATGGACCAAAGATGAGTTGATCGCTGATGAACGACTGGTGATGTGCAATTTGAAAGGTAGGTCTTGTTTCCATCAAAATTATTCTTAGAAAGCCTTGATATTAAGAATGTCCGTCTTAGGCAAAGGCCTTGTCGTATTTACAGGCTGCAGTCACGCCGGGGTTATCAATGTGTGCAAGCATGCTCTGAACCTGGGTGCCCCTATATGGCGTGGTTGGTGGATTTCATCTGGCCGACAATAACCCTGACAAGCTGAAGCTGTCTCTCGAGGATTTAAAGAAGCTAGAGCCGAAGGTTTTGATGCCGGGTCATTGCACTGGCTTCAAGTTCAAGTTTATGATTGAGCAGAGCATGCCAGCCGTGATCGCGCCGTCATACAGCGGAACTACGTATATACTAAGCTCGGCAGACTTGGTGTAAGATCCCCAATGTTTTCTGATGGGACTCTCGGCATGTAGTAGTTTTTCCCAAAACAGTTTACATTGCGATATTCCCCGATTTGACTAAGAAGTGGAACAAATGTTGTCTGCACTGTCATCCAAATGAGTTCAGGGCTCAATGACTTGGTAAGCTTATGTGAGCAGAAACACCAAGTGAGAGCCACAGTTGAACCTTCCGCAGCCCTTGAATAACATATTAGAAAGCACGAAGGCCATAAAAGGAATGAAGGGCTTGTATAGCCTCCTAGCAACATTCTGTTGTGAGTCTTCGGTGGCATAGGGTCGCGTATATCAAAAGCAACGAAGGCGTCTTCAGAGCTAAAATTCCCCCGCTTCCTAATTGCAAGAGACTTTGAGTTAGCCATTCCACATTCAAAAAAATGACTACTATAGAAAAAGCTCCTGATGTCGCTTCAAGGAGTGTATCTCTGAAGGTCCTCGTTCTTGGATTGTCAAGAACAGGTACATCATGTATGTCCTGGCCTCCAAATTGTTCCAGCTCGCCTTGCGCTCATGTTTATTGAGCCAGCTATGCAACAAGCCTTGATAGAGCTGGGTTACACTCGAGTGTACCATACGCGAACGGTTCTCACCGAGCGTCCAGATGACGGATATATGTGGGCTGAGCTGTTGGAGAGAAAGTTCGTCAAGCAAGAACCAATCAGGAAGGAAGAGTGGGATCGCTTGCTCGGAGACTACGATGTACAAGACTCAACTTTGCTCTCATATCCAAGGGATAGTCGTTGACTAATCTCAGGCAGTGACGGATATTCCATGTGCCCTATTTTGGGAAGAGCTGATCGCAGCTTATCCAGATGCCAACGTGATTCTCACCGTCCGCGACTCCGCAGATGCGTGGTATGCCTCTTATGCAAGCACAATCGGCTTTCTGACCTCTCAGAGCTATGCTCAGCCGTCGTCCGCAATGACACGCTGGGTCACGAGATGGCTGTTCGGTGAGCAGTGGGGTGGCTTTGACGAGCTCATCGCCGCTCAAGTCAGGTACACGCCGCGTGGCACAATCGACAACGAAAAGGCCACCAAGAGATGGTATGAGGAGCATAATAGGGCTGTGATGAATGCAATGCCTGCAGATAGGCATTTGGTGTTCAATGCGAAGCAAGGGTGGGAGCCTCTGTGCCGGTTCTTGCGGAAGACGATACCTGATACACCATATCCGAGGGTATTTGAAAAGAAAGAATACCTACACGGCATCACTACGCGGCGGGCCATTAAAAGATCAAAACGACGAAAAAGACTGGCGATTTTTAGTCTTGCATTGATTACCTTAATTGCAGTATCACGATTCGGGGGAATGCTCGGACGGCGGTGGCCATAGGTTGTAAGTAAATCATGTCTAGATCAACAACGATCAAAGAGCCGCATCGTCCACAACGGTGTACAATGTACAGCAAAACTTCTATATACTCTTTGGAACTGTTCTATACTATCGTGCGGCTGCTCTTCCGCCGATCTGGATTGGCAAATGCTATCTGCCGTAACCTAAACGAGCGATGAGGCTCCTTGACTTCAAGCTCACTTTGAGCGGAAGCGGGCATCCTCATAGCCTTGCTCGATTTGCCGAAGATGGTGTTCTCGGCACTCGACTTGGATAGAGTTGTCGAGGCAGAAAGAGTGCCCATTCTGTCATTATTACCTCCTTCTCCTCTCCTCACTGACAAGTAGAAGAAGTCATGGATGAAAGACGAACCCAGATCTCGTGGTTGGCCATTGTCTGTCCAGTATCGCTCCTCGCTCAATTCCCTGCTCAGGTGCTTCCGGAAATATCGATCTTGCCAAACCCACCAACCGCGCCAGAAACAGAGAATGGCGATGGTGAGGGGAAGCGTGGTTGCCCAGTAGACCCAGAAGCGACTGCTCACGATGGGATGCTTGTCGTTCACCGAGCCACTGCTATTGTTATCGTCCGAAGTGTCAATGTCCTGCCAGTCGAACATTGAGACGCCGAAGAGCGTGCCGATAAACTCGCCCGGGAGGAATATGGCGGTGATGACAGCGAGAGCCTTCATCGATGAGCTGTCGCGTGAACTAGCCACCGCCATTCGTGCGTTAAGATTGTTGTCTTCTTGTGCCATCTTACTATATATCTGCGCAACGACAATGTTAGCACCGAGGTGTGATCCGGCATTCCAGTCAAGAGACTCACAATGTCGATCTGTGCCTTGCACCTCAACTCTAGCATGACTCGTTCGGTACCAAGCGCCATGCACAATTGTAAGAGACCTTCTAGGTACTGCCGAATTTCATGCCAATGACTGCTCATTGGGTTCTCGAGAATGCGCGCACGCAATAATGTGGTGCCAACTCGTCCGCGGGCGGATAGGGGAACTGGAACGTCAAGAGGCGGTCCAGTTTCGTCGTCATCCTGCATGACGGCATCAAGCGCATCTCCAGCATCCAGCAGAATCTTGACGGCACGCTCCATCCATCTGATAGTATCTAACAGGCGGATTGATCTCTTTAGGACGTCATGGGCGTTCTTCATAAGTTCTGTCGTCTTCTTTGGCATGGCCTGCGGGCCAACAAGGCTAGGGCTTCTCGAAAAGCTCAAACGCCCCCGTGTGCGGCCTTCATAGGCGTGGAAGCCAGCCATGTTACTCACGTCAGCTTCGACGACTGTCACCTCGACGTTGTTCTCGGCAATAGCCTCCTCAGTGCGGGCAAATTGTGCCTGCAGCAGAACGACAGGAGTGGCCAATGGATGTGACCAATGCGATCTACAGGCTTCCATCCGCTCACCGTACTCATCGAGCTCATCAACAGCATGGTGGTACGGGTCGAAGGACTGACGGATGAAGGCGGTTGTTGTGCGATCAGGAATGCTGTAAGTCATTGAAAGGAAGTCAAACGGCGCTCTGGGATCAGCAGAGAATGAGAGCACAATGCCTGTTGAACCGTTAGACAAGATATGCCATCTACTCTAGCTAGAGGCGTATGCCCACAATCTGTCACGTACTCAACTTCTCATGTCGCCTGTCCCAGAACATGGATTCGGAGGTGGTGCGACGGACATACTGGAGGGTGGCAGGGTGGAGATGCAGCAGCTCAAAGTCGCTATCCGTGATGCTCAATCCATCGCGGCTGCCATCTTCTGACCTGACTCTGCGTCGACAAATTCTGTGCGACCGTCAGCATAGGACGTCGGTGTGGAACATTCTGAGAGCCTGACATCTGACGAACTTTGCCTTCTAAGGCCTCGTCTGGCGATGTTTGCGCCTTGAACTGGCCCTGGAAATCAATTAAAAACGGCTCAATGCTGGATAGAAAGTGGCTCCCTCAACCTTGACATCTAGCGCATGGTCTTCTCGCAGCGCTAGGTGAAGAAGGCGCTCTCCAGAGGCCTCCTCGGAGAGGATGCGATGGCTGATGTGCCTCTGCTTTGATAAGCTTGGCTGACCGTCTTTGCTAGGCTCAGACACCCTGAAGACGGCGTACTCGTGGTATTCCAGGAGTGAAGAGCTCTGATGCAGCAGGATATCCCCTTGCAGCGTCCGGGTGTCGAAGAGAAAGAGGTCGGAGCGGTGAGGCGGCGGAGGGGCGCCGCCAGGGCTGGCCATCGTCAATCAAGCTTCGGCGGCGGCGGCCGTTCCCGCTCATACGCACGTGGCGCTCGGTTTGTTCCTCACAACATTGACGGAGAGTTCTGAGGCAGCGATACCGAGGCTGAAGAGGTGACTGGCAAGCGGGAGTCAATAGCTTCAACTTGAGTAGAGTTGAACCTTACGAGTGTGCTGACCTTAGCATTGGCTACCGACCGTCCCTCCTGGATAGCAATCAGGAGGCAGGTGAAAATAATTATCCAATTCGCCTGGGGCGAGAAGAAAACAGCATCATTGGGGGCCGAGCTTTGCTCTTCTTTCTTCAGAAGAGCCCCATGGGCTAAGGTTGAACCCCCTCTTCCACTCCACCCGCGCGCAGCAGCATGACAGGGGTTCTGTTGTGGTCTGTGGTTTGTTGGAGTTAATTCGAACTTCATCTGCGGTTTCGTTGGCTTCCCGAAGGATCGGCCAGACAAGCGAGGTGGGTCGCCTGCTCAGCGCTCGCGTGCTGTTTGTTTGTGGTGTGTGGGTGTGACGGATGATGACTTGGCACTATTGGCAGCGCTTTGGTGCAGATCTTGGGTCGCCGAATCAGGCCCAAAACCAACTGATGGGGTAGTTCAGGTTGGCACTGCATCCTCGGCTCCTCCAACACCTGTCATGACACTGCGAGCTGATTCTCGAACTGATGCCGGGAGGCTTACCTGCTGCTCTCTTCAGGTATTTGTGGACTTCGTATCTGCCATGGAAACTCGAGTTGTTTCTGTGAGTGTTGGATTAGGTAAGTCAAGCAACTACTTTTGGATAGTGCCTAGTCTAGGTAGGTGCCTTTCTCATGGAAATGGAAGGAGCCTCAGAGGTTCTTCCTATCGCCATCTTCAGGCAGATGGAAATTGCGTTTTGAAAACAAACAAACACAAACACTTCCGTCGTCTTCTTTGACTTCATTTACTGAGTGCAGCATTCCGTGACGGGGTTGTCACCGCACAACTGTCTGCCTGCCTTACCAGGGTCCGAGTTTGACAGCAAAAACACAAGTTGCCCATCCATTCCTCGCTGGATGGAACACCATCTCGCCTGGCCGCCGCGCAACTTGATTCGGCGAGACTGGCGCATCGGCTGTTCGAGGAGGTGCTTGTTGTTTGTGCCGGGCCATAATTCAGCAGTAGGACATCGTCAACCCACTGCTAACCATCATGGCGTCAACTTTCTCTATAAAACGCCACGGCTTTCACAGCACGAGCAGCAGCGCCTCCACGCCGACAAGCCATCCAACGCTGTCCACTTTGGCATACGAGATCTGTCACATGATCCTTGCAAGCCCGATCCTAGACAATCAGGATAGAAAGGCTGTCCGTCTCTCATGCCGACACCTAGAGGGCATGTGTACGGATCTTATTTTTCAGAAAATAGCCCTGAGCACCCTCACCTTAGACCGCGACGCTTTCATCAACATCACAAAACAGCCACGACTTGCCCAGCATGTGAGACAACTGATTTGGTACGAAGTACCCAGAAATGATCAATTCCGCTTGTTCAGACAGATTCGCGGACTTGACGAGAGCAATCCCGACATCGTAGACGACGATATCGAAGGCATCATACCCATTCTCCACGCATTGATATCGGACTGTTTCTGGTTGCCAGCAGAGCCTACCGTTTCTGACACAGTCAAGCTGGAAGAGACCAAAGTTGTGCGACGTGATGCTATCTCCCAATTCAGCCCTTTCTTCTCGGATGCGCTGGTTAGCATGCCCAACCTCAGATGCTTCATAAGTGAACCCATACCGCCACACCGAAAAGTCACCAAGAATGGTTATGCAATCACCGCCGACATCCTGTACTCGCAGTCGACGTGCAATAGTGACGATGATGTCATGTCAAATGACGGACTCTTCAACTTTCTCTTACCGGCCATGGCGAATTCAAGCTCAAAAGTTGAGGTTTTCCGCTGGGTAGACCAATACGCCCTGCAAACAATCGACAATATCCGAGAGACGCCACCGATAACATGCAGCCTAACCTCCATTGACCTGTGCCTCACATGGGCAGGTCCGAGATCGTGGGATAGAATCGGTGACCTACAGATGGCGCGATGTCGAAAGTGGCTGCACTCCGCAACTGCACTCAGGGATCTTAAATTATCCCACGAATATGATTTGAGCGGTGGACTATCGAAGTACGACGCCATCAACCCATTGTCGTTATTCTACGGCTTTGATCCTATCAGCCTCCATGACATGATTGCTTTTCTTTTTGAGGAAAACCCTGCCGACGCGTTCTACTCGTGGTTGCGAAGCAAGTCACAGGGGTGGTACACCCCTTGGCCACAGCTCCTATCCCTGACCTTGGAGGGGTTTCAAATTCACAACTATCTTGACCTTTTCATGAAACAGCACTCATCCACGATACGCCATTTGCATTTGGAGCATTGTGAGGTCACTGTCAGCATGATCAATAGATGGTCCAAAATGTCGGGTCTGAAACTAGACTGCATCGACTTGAAAGATGCTCATCCTCGTCTTGATCTCTCAGTCGAAACCATGCTGGAATACATCAACGCCAAAGTTATGGACTCGAATCTTCTCGCACCCATTGAGGACTTTTTGGATCTTTGCGTGATTTCAACTCAGCAAAGCGGTCATGGATGCAACTTGGGTGTGATATTTGACCTCAGCGAAGAACCTGACGAAGATTCGTATCCAGCTGACGACATCCTTGGAGATACAGTTGTGAATCTTGGTGATCATGACGCGAACTGGGGCAGCGGTCCTTTCTGGATGTATGGCGTATTCACTGTACAAAACAAACATGACCCGGAGGGCGAGATGTTCATGTGGCAGGTTCCGCATGGAACCCCCCATGCTCTACCGACTGAGATCTGGAAATTCACAAACCGTGACGGGGAGGTTGCCTATGGATGGGAGCCTTTGGAGTGGTTCGAAGACTGGGATTTGGCCTTTGGTGATCGGGCAGAACCAACCCCATACGGCCCTTGGTCTGACCCAATTCGCCATCGTATCAACCTTGTGGCCCCACTCCCTGAGCAGGATATCCCCGATGGGGCAGTCCAGTGGTCCTGGGAAGAACGGCATGCAGTGCGTAATGCTTTGAGAGATTGTACGCCCTCTTGGTGGTGGTCTTACTGAAGAATACGTTTCGTTTAGTCATCACCGTGAATAAAGACAGCAATAGAATGAAAGCTTTAGCTAGAATTTAGCTATTCTCACAGTACACTTCTCTGAACCTCAGCTTTGAGATCTCTTGAGCTCAACCCAACCATATACGTGAACGTTCCTTCGGGTACTACCCATTGTCCCATATCCGTGTCCCAGAAGCTAAGATCACGTCGCATTGACTGGAATGTCACTTGCCTAGCCTCCCCTGGATCGAGGAATACCTTCTCGAAGCCTCTCAACACCTTGACCGGTGTTCCGCTAGGGGTTGTATCTTGAGGGAACGACACATACAGCTGTGGCACAGCATATCCGGCTCTATCGCCTATGTTCTTTACTTGAACCGTCGTCGATGAGATGTTGGTCCAAAGATCAACCAAGCCACCTGGTGCAATGCCTTTGGCTGAATCTGGCATTGGCTGCAAACTTGCCGAGACCTGGACATCGAGGTTGGTGATCTCAAATGTTGTGTAGCCTAAACCATACCCGAACTCGTATAGAGGCTCGATATTCTCAGCATCATATCGCCGGTAATCGATTAACAACCTTTCCACAAAATCCGACTGCCAAGAACCTGCGTCTGTCACCGGTTCTGTCAGGTTCACAATGCTCGGACCAGATTGCGAGACATCCCGTGGAATCGTGTAGGGCAAACGGCCAGATGGCTCAGCGTCGCCCCAGAGAACATCCACAATCGAATTGCCCGTCTCCTCTCCGGGGTAATGCGCCGCCAAGATGGCAGTCACGTTTTCGTTGTCCGCCCACGGCATCAACACCACGCCCGGGCCGTGTGTTATGACAATGGTGTTGGTGCAGATCGCCGCGACGTTCTCGACAACAAGTGTTGCATTCCATTGGAGGTCGAGATCTTCTCTGTCGAGTCCTTCGGTCGCAAAGGCTTTCAAGAAAACTAGACATGCATCTGGGGTCGGGTAGAGACCGTTGAATTTCCCGGCAGCAAGGTAATTGTTATTAAGAATGAATTGAGCGCGTCCTCCAATTGATTCAACCTTGTGGCGAATGGCTTCCATTGGCTCAATCAGGCTGGTATGGCGCACACCACCGGAGCCGCCACCAACGTCGATAGTACCGACCTCGAAGCCCAAAGGGTTGGCTGTATCAACGTACGCCGAACCGTGGGCAGGATATGGTGCATCGTTGCCGAAGATACCAATGTCCAACTCTGATGTCAGAGGCAGCGCCTTGTTCACATTCTTCAACAAGACCGTTCCTGCAGCACCAATCTCTCGGATGAGATTGGCATGATCCCGTCGGACGTCGCGTGCTTCAACTTCAGGGAATGCGGCCGCATAAGGCGATCCAGGCCCAAATTGATAAGCGACCAATGCAGGTCCAGTTGCCGGATCAACTGTTGGAAAGTTTCTGTCCTGCTTGAGAAGAAAATACGGCGTGAGCACTCGTACTGTCATCTCATCAAGACGAGCTTCAGGCACGCTTCCGTTATTGACAGCTTCCAGTAAAAGATCACCGAAGTAACTCGCACCCACAGTACTCACGGGTCCTGGCATCTCAAGGTCCAACCCGGCTAGGGCTCCTTCAACAGTAGAATGCGTCGCATACCAGTCTGAAACGATGTATCCTCTGAAGCCAAGCTCATCCCTTGTGATATTTGTCAAAAGCTCCGAGTTTTCGCAGGAATAGACTTCATTCAGACGATTGTAAGAACACATTATGCTAGCTGTGCCCGCTTTGATAGCATTAGCGAACGGCCAGATATATAACTCGTGCAGTGTGCGATCATCAATATTAGAGGAAATGGCCTCGATGACGGTACCGTCGTCGGCTGTCGATGACGAACGTTGGGTTTCCTGCTCATTGCCGACGTAGTGTTTTGAACTGGCCTGGACACCAACAGACTGAACCCCACTGACAGCAGCACTCATAGCCTCGCCGGCGAGGAAGGGATCTGGGCCGAAGCCTTCCCAGTTTCTCCCTCCCGCCGCGTGGCGACCCATTGGTCCCGAAACCGGGCTATCATTCATATAAGCTGATGGCTGCAACCAGGAGTAAGCTCTGAATACTGACCCTAGATGAACATGTGCGCCTTTGTCTCTGAATTCTTGACCCATAGCTCGGCCTCGTAGATATATGAGTTCTCTGTCCCACGTGGCTGCAGTGGTAATCCCAGATGGGAAAACACTGACGCCATCCGCGCGGTTATACCCGGCTGGCCCATCTGAGAAGCATATGCCATCAAAACCTAAGCGCTCTATAGGCGAGATTCCTCCGACACAAGGGACAGTAAGTGTAGATGTACCATAGCCGCCGGTCACGAGCCCTATTTTCTCAGTGACATTGAGCTGCGAGACGAATGCGGCAGCCTTCCTGGAGGCGGTGTTCCAGCCAGCTGATAATATGTTAGCTTGATTACACTGACGATAGTTCGGGGTCATCACGAACAGCACGATGTCCCATTCCCCAGAGCTAACTGTTGAATGCTCGCGAAGGCTATCAGACTAAGAATTTGGACCTTTAACATGGTGGCTATGAGGTTTGAAAATCGACTCATCCCTCTCACTCATGAGTAAAAGAAGATCTCAAGGTTGTTCTTTCAACCGTTCTGTACTCTTGTGCAGGTTCTTATATAATGCGCCTGAGGAGCATCATGTACTTCACGGCAGAATCAACTACCTCTTTGACGCCACGATAGGTGCCAGCTAAGACGAACAGATGTCGAATCCCCGCAAGAAACTACAACACTAAAGTCTGGGGCCGGAGAAGGACCGAATTTGAATCGGATGGTAAATATTTTCTTTCATTCTAGGCTGAGTAATTCTTAATACAACCGTTGGTGATCTTGAACGATGTCGACACAAACCGGACGATGACCGAGTTTTGCACCGAATACGCGTATCCAGGTCACCTCACTAGTGCAGTCTCCCCCCGCAATTACCCCAGATCTTGATAGCTCGTCTGCATCGATGTTGGTCTAGAGCAATTGGATGATGAGTCTCGTCGGGATGAAGCTATCCCGCGCACTGGCTAGGAATGGTTGAAATGCTTCCATGCATGGCCAAGGTTGTGTTCGCAGCATGTTCAAAGCCCTCGGCAAATTAAATCTACCATCCTAAAGAAAAGGTGAAGACAAAACAAATGACAAAAGATGCAACGGATATGGACCAGCATCCATTGGATATTCTTCGATGAGTTCTGTCTATCAACCAAACAGAGACTAAAAAGAAGCTCTCAACCCGGATCAAGCGTGACATGCGTCCATATTGACCACTAATCAAACTGCAAGAGACTACCTAGGTGGGTAGGGCATGATTGCCAGTCTGCTGCTTATCTGTTTGTTCACACGATTTGAGTAGCGCAGGCCGCAGGCTTGTAACCCACTGATGCCCCGCTGGTGGTTCACGGTCATAGTGCGACGAGCCTCCTAGCACATATTGAGCTGTTCCGTAGACACGGAAGAGTAGTTTATATATAGACTGACCATAGCACTATATCTTAACTCTAGCTCATTGTAACTTGATGGCAACATACGAAAGACGGACTATAAGCCTTCTGTAAACTCGATACTGCATCCTCTAAATAATTGCTTAGTCGAAGACAGTGCATATAAGTTGGTTTGTGGTAAACAGGCAGAAGAAGCTAGGTCTATCATGTTGTATGTTTAGGGAGTTTATTACGATGCCGCAAGGGAAAGAAGCTTAAGTATCCGGAATTCTTGGAGGATGCATACGAATGCAAAAGCATTTCGAATGAATGATTTCGCACACAGTATTTGTCAAAAAAGGTTGCTGCCTTGGACTATGTAAATATCATGCGTATAAAGCGTATGGGATGGCATATGCGATCATCAGCCTCAATTGCTTCGTCAACATTCGTGACAAATCATCATTGCTTGCTCTCACTGCTGTCTTGCTGTGCTTGCTGTCGGACAAGCAGCCCTGCTAAGATTAGGGCTGTGGCTATGTTACGCTGTCCTGCGCAGCTCGTTAGCAGGATGAATACGCACCGGCGGTGCCCTAACAGTCACCACTAACGATCACGCGAATACGCGCGAACGATATCACCGTGCAGAGACTCCAAAGCCGTGCCCTCGCACTTCTTTAGCCGCAATACTCAGGATACGCAATGATGCAATTGAAAGGACCCCGGAAGCGGCGCCGCAAGTATGTTTGGGAAAGCTTGCGACTCGTCTGAACCTAGCGGGAGGCGAAAGAATGGTATAGGTTGAGTACATAAAGGCTTGACAACCATGGAAGAAATCACAATCACACTGCCATTGATCATAACTAGTTGTCCCTGCCCTCTCCTTGTCGCATCATCCGGCTTCATCTACAATTATTCTGCAACAATCCAGTAGTCAGGAAAGAAAATATGGCCGGTGTAGTCCTGTTCGTTGTGGCGATTGTGCTGTCGCGTCGATCGTTTGCAGCTCCAACAGCCAATACGACAGACAAGCAATGTCTTGATTTGGACGTACCGGTTTCCATCTCGGCCACCAACGCCAAGTTAGATACCCCCAGGGTTGACAGCAATATTGACGCGGTCGACTGGGTTTGGGACTCTTATACTTGGTCTCACAACGCGTCGGAACGGATGGTGGGTACCATCGCTATCAACACGACATATCATATCAGCGCCCAGCTGTGCGTTCCTACACAGGGAAGCGCCAAATCGGATATTCTACAGATTGCGTCCCCTGGCCTCGGGTGGGATAAGAGGTACTATTTCTTTGAGTTAAGACAGATATTGAAACTAACCTTGTGATTCTTCAGGTACTGGGATGTCCAAGCCGAGGGGTACAACTACGTCGATGCGGCTATCAGCGAAGGTTATTCGACCCTTATTTACGACCGTATCGGCACTGGGGACTCTTCGAGGCCTGACGCCTATGCCGATGTACAAGCTGCTTCGCAAGTAGAAGTACTCAAGGCGCTTACAGACCTAGCACGCAGTGGCGAGCTCACCAAGTCTTCCGAAATCAAATCGGAGACCAAGAGCTCTAAGCTGTGCTCGTACAAACCCAATAAGATTGTTCATGTAGGCCACTCCTTCGGATCTATCGTCACTGCTGGCTTGCTGGCGGCACATGGCGAAGTCAGCGATGGCGCTATTGTGACAGGCTTCGTCTATGGGCGGGAGATGTTCTTTACCACTCCCGTCGCGTACGGACTGGAATACGCTGCGGAAAACGATCCGGTCCGTTTTGGCGACCGCGGGTCCGGCTACGTGGTGCAGGGAACGCGGAGCAGCATCCAGCAGATATTCTTCAAAAAGGGGTCATTCGAGCCGGCGATGCTGGTGTATGCTGAGGAGGCCAAGCAGCCAGGCTCCGTGGGAGAGCTGCTTACAGGGGGGCAGGTGCTGGGGAAGCCAGCGCAGAAATTCAAGGGACCGCTGCAGGTTAGTTGAAACCGAGATGGTCCATGCTGTCCACCTATCCATTCCCGGCCTCGATAACTATCTCCTTGGATATTGGAGGAGTTCTTGCTGACAAAACACTCTCTGAAAGTTCTTCCTTGGCGAGTATGACGACGCGATGTGCGGTGGTGACTGCAACGACCAGATTGACCTGCCGGAGGTGCTCGAGAGCCTCTATCCCCACGCAACAAACATATCGATCTATCTTCAGCCTGCAACAGGCCACGGCCTGACACTCTCTACGAATGCCACCGCAGGCTACAAGGTCATGTTTTCCTTTCTGAAAGCATACGGCCTGTAAATGCCGGTGAGCGTTGAGTCAACGGGGGCTCATTGAGGTAGTTGGAGGTTGATACTCGGTAGGGCTTCGCTACGTCTTCAGACACCTTTGACTTGACCTGTAGCGAGTTTACAAGTCTATGAGGGTCAACCTTTTATGGCTGCAGTAGGAGGAGACATGTACACGTGCTGCACATACATGCTTGCACATTACCTAATTAGCATGGCTGGGAGTTCGGGAGGATAGAGTAGACACGGTCTTCGACAGAATCTTGTTAAAATTAATGTATAATAGACTGACTACTAGATCTTGAGCTTCCCGACCACTATGTGAAGAAAAGGATGCCCTGTACTAGACCTATGTAATGAGCCTCGTGCTGGCGGGGAATACCGCACATAGCCTGCGTTTCAGTGGCCCGGCTAAGAAAGACCGATCTTGTCGTAGTGGCTTCAGTGGAGACCCGGTAGAGCGAGAAAAGTCTGCGGTCACTAAGCGACCTACCTACTCGACCAGTACAGTACCATAAGCTACGATACCGGCAAAATGGTCAATCATCTCGTCCAATCAGGACACACATCTCTCGTAGTATAGTGGTTAGTATGGAAGCTTGTCACGCTTCAGACCCGGGCTCGATCCCCGGCGAGAGAGAGATTTCTTTATTTTTCTGTCTTTTTTTTTATCCATCCGGAGCCTTCACCTACGGTCGTCTAGATAGTTATAACGTCTCTCAGGCGCCTGGCCACTTTTTATTAGCGTCTCGGTGCGTCGCTCGTCTGGAAAAGAGGGGTTGACTGGCCTGTTATCAGAAGGAAGTACTCGATAAGCTTTCCCGACGGCTGTTCAAAAGGTTGTCTTTACCAGACGTAACAGTCAACCGCCCAAATGCCCTCATTTCTCCACCTCTAATCGGAAAGAATCTGCATGAGGATCTCAGTACCGTAACGTTACTCGGCCATATCTGCGGGGCTTGCGAGATCTGAGTATACAACATTTGAAGCTTCACATCATGTGCATGGAGAGAGAAACATCCATTGCCATGCCATGTTCACCTCGTGGTGTTATAGGCAACACACACTGGAATAACAACAAAGAGTCGCGTGTAAGCGTGCAAGTATATCAATATGCGGCTATTAAGCCTGGCGCTTGGGTTAACTGCTTCAGGTACGGGTCAGTGGATTGACTAAGATGGATAGTATGATGCTAAAGCAATCGTAGCATGTGCATTGCGAGACTTAGTCGGCGTTCCCACAGTGCCGTTCAGCATATCCGATGAGAGGCATTATTCCCTACGAAAGGTCCATACCATCGTGGTAGACTCACGATATAGTGACGTCGTTGACAGTGAGGGCGAGACACTTATACCTCCTACATTATACGAATTTGCGACGATATTTGCGGCCGACCTCGGAGATGTGCTAGGCATTGCTGCAACTGTAGTGAACGGATCCAGCCCTAGCCATAGCGGAGTGTTCTTCACACTTGGGTTTGCTGGTGACTACCTCGACGCGGCTGGGCGGGAAACGTCTGAAGGTTACAGCTTGATCGTGAACTCTTCAGGTCTCATCATCACAGGAGCCAGTCCTTTAGGTGTTTGGTGGGGAACAAGAACGGTCCTACAACAGGCAATTCTTCATGATGGCCTCATTCCGTATGGTTCTGGAGCCGACTCTCCCGGCTGGGGCGTTCGCGGTCAGATGCTCGATGCCGGACGACATTTCTACCCAAAGGACTTTCTCATTGAATTGTGTGCATACATGTCCTTTTTCAAGCAAAATACGTTCCATCTCCATCTGAGCGATAATCTGTACAACAACCCCAACAACACCAAGGAACAGTCATTGGAGGTATATGCGAGATTCCGTCTGTGGTCGGACTCTGAGGCGGTAGCCGGCTTGAACAAACACAGGAATGAATCATACACCCGTGACGAGTTTGACGAAATTCAAGCAGCATGCGCCGCCCGCGGAGTTACGGTTCTTCCAGAGATTGAAGCACCTGGCCACGCTCTTGTGATCGTACAGTGGAAACCGCAAATCGGATACGACGAGGATCTTAGTCTCTTGAATATCACACACCCTGAGACTATTCCGACGATGAAGACCATTTGGGGAGAATCCTTGCCCTGGTTCCACTCGAAGACGGTCTCAATAGGCGCTGATGAGTATACTGGAGCAGCTACGGATTACAATGATTTTGTGAACGAGATGGATAGCTACATTGGTGCTACATCTAATAAGTCGATTCGTATTTGGGGCACATTCCCGCCGGTTTACAGCGAGACATACAACAATATCTACCAGAACGTCTCAATCCAGCATTGGGAATTCTTCGAAGACGATCCATACTTTGACTATATCTTGAACAACTATTCTGTTGTCAATTCCAACGATGATTTCTATATCGTGAACAAGTGGGGGATATATCCTGCCACAATCAACCTGACCAAAACCTTCTACGGATCGCCCGATCGGTCCTTCTGGCGTCCATTCATCTTTGATCAGAGTAATGCGACACGAAACCCAGCTGAGACCAATGCACTTGTTTTAGGTGCCATTGAGCCATTATGGAATGATTATGGGCCCAATGCTTCTGTGTATTCTGAGGCATACTACGCGTGGCGTGCGGGAATTCCTGCCCTGGCCGATAAACAATGGGGTGGCAATTTGTCAGAGCAAGATTACTATTCTGCCTTTGCAGTCCTCCAACACTTTATACCAGGTCAGAACCTGGACCGCGCTATCTGTTCCCTGTCTGATATCATCTTCAACTATACATTTCACGACGGCTTTTTTGAAGATTCGTCGCCTAACAACTACACTCCGAACGCGAACTGCCTGGATACAGAAGAGGTTTCTGTAAAGATCAGTTCTGAGTGCGCACTCATCACACCTCTCGAATCAAAAGGCAGGAATTACACACTTTCCCTATCGCTCAAGGTAACAAGTCTCGAGGATATAACGAACGCGACACTGGTGTCAGGGCCTGACTCGAGCCTGATGCTCACGCCGAACATCACTCTCTTTGCATCTGGTAATTACTACAGCTTGAATTCTTCCCTGCCTCTGAATGAATGGGTCGACGTCCGCCTAATTGGTCGAGGCAATAGGACGTTTGCCTCGGTGATTTCAGAAAATGGTGGAGTCCTTGTAGACGAAGAGGAGTTTACGACCAAGATGGGCATAAATGGCCAATATTATCATTGGGCTGAAATGGGTATAGAAGCACCTTTGAAGCAAGTTGGTGGAAGTAAATGCGGGTGGCGTGGCGCACTGAAAGCCATGAGCCTCTTGTCAAAAGCCGAAGAGATCAACAGTGATAGGCTTGTTGAGGTTGAGACGACACCCGAAACCTTGTGATTTACATATCTAGAACGCCCTCGTAGAACAAACATCACACAATAACGGTAATTCGGAATATTGAATAACGTATAATCATTTTTGGATCTAAAATATGTATGACTCTAGACTGTTCGTTAGACTCTCCGTATTTGGTGGAAATCAATGAGCCAGGTGGGGTAGTGAGCCCAATGATTAGAGTGCACTCTACCACATCAACGCTCCCATCCCGATATATACAACCCATGCACCTAGAGCTACGATCAATATCCAAAGACCCACTGCTTTAAGCACAACCCCTTTGAAGATCTTGTCTGCTGCGACAGCATCATTTAGGTGTGGAAATGGGACTTGCGGAACAGGGACGCCCAGAATATCACAGAAGGGCGTCCAGCCCTGTTTTAGGTCGACAAAATGAAGACGGTGCTCGGGAACCACTCGCTTAACATATTCAATGTGCTGGTCATACATGTCTACGAATCCAATATTAGACTTCACTGTTGAAAGGTTTCTCGGTGACATGATGATCGTCTTACCCTCACAGAAGCTCATACCGTACAACTCCATATTTCTATACACAGGAGTCAGTCTTTACCATTCCATAGCTCGAAAGTATTCAGCTTATAACAAACCTGTCATCAAACATGGCCATGCAAGGAGGAAACCACCTCCACCCAGGACATGGCCATAGGAGCAAGTCCAACCACCAGATAGATGCGTTATTGGTGACTGGCTCCAGGCTTTTCCACCACTTCGCTTTGTCTCGCGTCACACAAATAACAACGGCTTCCGGATATAATTCGCAAAGTTCTTCAATGAATGAACAACCTGGCGAATCGCATATGGACACAAACCCCGCGGTTATCTCACTAAGGATCTTCATGCAGCGTGATTTATCATTGCGATACTTGAAGAGCTCAAATATTGATTTCACGTGAGCTATAAGTGTGTTATCGTTCATGTGAGCAGTTCATCTTCTCGATTCGTTAGGAGAGGTGAGTGTTTACCATCGCTAGCCCCTATCATTTGAGAGCCACCGTGATGTACCGGGCCGTTGAGAAGTGTTTCCATAGCTAAGGCAAATGTGGAAGTTCCTGTACGCGAGTACCCTGCTCCTATTACTTGCATCCTGCGAGTGCGATCCCTTGGGACGGACGGTGTCACTCCCATAATGACAATCAGTTATGAGAAGACGGGGTTTGAGATTTCGAGTGCAAAGATGAGAGAAGCAGCCACTAAGCACGAAAGCATTGATGGGAAGACTTGAACAGTTTATGGACATGCCATCTCGTCGTTCATTTACCGTTCTTCTGAACTATAGAGGGCCCTCTTGCACGAATTGAATTGATAAGCACTAGTCGCTAAAAATTGTGTCGTATGCATGGCAGAAACCACTTCATGTTGATTGCTATCTCGCTGGAGGTTGCTTAGAGCCATAATCATAGGCCAAATGAGATTTCTGTCACCCTAGTATAAAGAAAGGCGTGCATGTTGGAAGGCTAATCTGCGTCAAATAGGCTATCTGGGGTGCAGGTGTTGCGACCTAAAGTAAGAACGAGCGAGAAATCTGACTAAGATTTCGTAGATTGTTTTCATGATACGATTGCCGTTGACCACACTAGCGACGGCGGTGACGTTAATCGCCAACCGGAGCAAGTTGTGGTTTGATGATCTCCAGAAGAAATT